CATAACCACCACCACAAAGTAAAATGAAACTCTTTATATTTATTTAAATAATATTAGTGCATTTATATAATACAAATGTTTCCTTTTTTTTTTTTTTTTACCAGTTTTCTTCTGCTAGAATGTCTACTGTACGATTATAACAGTAATTGCACCTAGACACAATAATATTAATAATTAGTAGTACTAAGATTTTCATAAATTAATTTTGCATCCGTAAAGTGATTTAGGTTCATCTATTTATTTTTTCTTAATGGGCTTTTCTTCTTTTCAGTTATATGACATTGAACACAGCAATCCCTAGTAGCTTCAGTTGTTTTACTTCCAGAATGGAGAGATTACCACCTGCTGGTCTTAACGTCTCAAAGAGTTGTGTCAGTCACGTCAATGAAAGTGAATGCAAATGTTTTCTCATAAAGAAAATGTTCATTTTAGTAAGACAAATTTATCAAATAATCCCTTGTAATTTGGCTTAGTGTGCCTTGTCTAAGAAATGAAGATCTTTAAAATCTAGAAGTCATTGCCATGGAGTCTGTTCCAACTCATTAAGTCTCTGTGGGACAGAGTAGAACTGCTCCTTAGTGTTTCCAAGACAGCTCATCTTTTCTCTTACAGAGTGGCTCACGAGTTTGAACCACCGACCTTGCAGTTTACAACCCAAGCTTTAATCCACCATGCCACCAGAGCTCCTTTGAAATATATTAGGTGGTATATAAATACAAGGGGGCTTCAAAAAGATCATGGAAGAATGGAATAAAAAGATAGTGGAATTTCTTCGCAAACTTTTTGAAGCCTTATGTATGTTATGCAAGGTGTTCTGTGACTTTAGCTTGGCCCAGTTTTCCTATTTGACCCAACCTGTGGTAGTATTAACAGCTCTTAATGATACTTCATTAATTAACTACAGTACTCACCATTATTAATAGCAACAATGCTTTATTATTTCAGAAAAATAGACAATTCTATATTCCAAATAAATACAATCTTTATTTCATTAATCTTAAAAATTTTTTCTCCATGTAAAAGTGTAATAGAAATGTCATTATTGTTTCATTTTCATTTTGTTTTTATATGCTTCCCAATATGAATAGAAGTTTCCTGATTGGGAAAATAAAAGACAAGATTTATGTTCTAGGTGGAAATTCGGTGACATTTCAGTTTGAAGCATGAGACTTAACAGAAGTCAAATGCAAGAAATCACTGAATTCAACTCTATAATTAACTTGAGTATAGTTAATACTCCACATTACAAACATAATGCATAACAGTTTAAAACATTAAAAACTGAGTGATAATAGATAGCATAGTTAGACTAAAACCAAACGAAACTCAACTGTCATCACATCAATTTTGATTCATAGCGACCTTGAATAGGGATTTGGTTAGGCTAAAGAAAAAAAAAGTCCTTAGTTTCTGAAAAGCATAGTGAAATAGGAGTTGTTGTCA